TCAGGAGAGGATAACGGCCTAAGGCCACTCGGGACCGGTAAAGGCCGCAAACTACGGTCTCAAGTCTTTTGCCGAGTTTTTACTGTCGCAACTCGCAGAAATCGTTACGTCGTGCCGATGATATACCATCGGCGACGTTACGCTCAACTGTGCTGCAATAAAAATATTGTACGGAGCACCTCTCGCAAAAATGCACTCTTTTCGAACTAGAGAATTATTTCACCGAGTTTAAGATGATTTAAAAAAAAGGCTTTTATAACAATAATGTTCACGTTTTCTGGGATATACTTAAACAATTGAAAAATGCACGTCTGTTCAAAAGCTAAGTTCCAGCAAGAGAAACAAACATTTTCAGTTTGTTTCGAATAGATTTTACTTTAATGGAATTTTAGTTCAATTTATTTGCAAAGATAGATACTATTAAAAATTGAAGAATTATGTGCATGTGTGATGTAAAAGTAAATTACTAGATTTGCACTACACAGAACGTAGGATTTCTAGTAATTTATTGAAAGAGCAATTCAGACAAATGCATATATAGACTTAAAATAGTAACCTTTTTTCGACATTTCCGCCAAGAAAAGATCAATTTAAAAAGAAAATATTCGCAGATAAATGAATGGTCTCTTGCTTTTTAAGCCCTTTTTGAAACTCGTCGGTTTTATGAATGACTAATCCAGGAAGTCTTTCTCTCTTCCCGGATTCGCCACTCGATAGTCCTACCTAGTCGAAGAAAAGCACACTCACTCGATGGAGTAAGTAGAAAGCTATAGAAAATGGTGGGAGCATTCTATGAGCGAGGGAGCAGAGCGAGGAGACTTGTCGAGGACCAGGTAAAGGCCCTTGTTCTCCATTGTGCCACGGTAGAGCTGACGCCAGTGATAGATACCTTTTCTAGTACATGCGCCGTATACACGTGTATATGGTTACTACTACTAATGTTCTCTGTCTTCCACACGCAGGTTAAAACGCAAGCCCTTTTTATATCGGCCAAACGTGCGGCAAACCGGCTCTCATTTTCTTCCACGAAGTCTACCAGCAGTTAACGATAGCGCGATGGCACGGCAACCAATGTAATGTTTCATTATATTATTTTTTCTTATTTTCTTATACCATTATACTGTTATTACGCCGTTGAAGATGGTTATAATATTTCAATGTTTTACGACAGAAGGAAATTTGTCCCATAAATTTTTATTTATGCATACTTAAGATTATCATTATTTATAGCCATCTGTTGTAAATCTAATAACAGATATTTTGTGGCTTCCTATATATAACTGCCACGAGTACTGTCGAATAAGACAGTCTCTCTTATAGAAAGTTATCGCTCGATTTTTATGGAAAAAAATAGAAATGCGCAATTTGGTAGAATAGTACGAGACCCCTCGGCATCGTGGCTCTTATCTCCCTTTATCTGCCAGTCTACTGGTATCAATGCTCAACGTTGTCTAAAGGAAATTTAATCAATGGAGGGGCCTGTCCTCATTACAGAGTTGCGCGTGGCATAAGCTAAATGAAAAGCAAGATTGTTTAATTTTTTCTTTCTTTCTTTTGTATCTTTTCTAGAAAAATTAAAACGGTGATCTTTAAGTTAAGACCGGAATGAAAGGATTCCTAAGCGGAATGAAAAGATTCACTCCAACTGCGCGCCGAATTGTTCAAATAATGATTTGAAGTAGAGGTACAAGTTTGGACAATGTAGTTAAAAAACGGAACTCTATTCATAATTGACCGAATGTCTGAAGATTCGACTGTTCAAAAAGCTCGAGATAAATTCGAGAGCAACTCAATACAAATTCGGAGATAAAGTTAATTATTCACAGACGGGAATAATTAGGAAATTTGTTTGTTCCTTTCTCGTAATATAATCGGAATAATTAACTATTAGTAGATATAAATAAATATATGAGATAAAGACCTTATTTAAGGCGGATCTTAGTGAATAATTTTTTATGGATTTTTACAACTCTCAGTTCAAGCAAATTCCGATTATTTGATTCGAAAGTCCTAGATTGAAACTGGAATAATATCACAAGTTAAATTGACAAGCAATTTAATATTTACTGATATTAATAAACATATTTAAAACATCTGTAAAGAATTTATTACGAAAAATATCATCTCAGTCGGGATTCAAACTTTCTTCCTCAAGACGTCCGCACGGAATGTGGAAGAACCAAGTGAATCCTAGCTGAAGTGATATTTTTCGCAATAAATTCTTTACGGTGTTTTAAATGTATTCATTAGCATCACAGTAACATTAAATTGCTCGTCAATTTAATTTATAACTATACAATTAGTCTAGGGTTGTGTTTTAAGACCGACAAATATAATCAGTGCGCTTAAATTAGAAATTGTAAAAATTCACGTGAGTGAAAAATGTCATATTCGGTCAGAATTCGTTTTTCGTGTCTAATAATGTTTCTTGTAAATTTCCAGTTGAAAAATTTATATAAAAATATTATTAGGCACCAAGTCCTTTGACCGAATATGGTCCTTTTTACTTAATATTAATTATTACTTTGCTTTTTTGTTTATATCCAAGTTCGAATTGCTGTTGATGCAATAGATAGGTACATGATATATGTTTAATATTCATCGGAGAAATATATTTTGTATTCACATGTCTGATTTTTTAGTCACATACTTCTGTCATACAAAACGCAAGAGGAAACGTAAAAAAATGAATAGAAAGGGTTAATTTGGAATTGTCCCCATGTGCGGCACGTGCTCATGGCCATTGAGCCTCCCCCTGCCTTCTCCCTGCAAATGAGACGAGAGGTCAATGGTTTAACTTCGTTCGCACAATTGGTCTGGATTAACGTCGTAATAAATCTCAATTAGGGTCGCTCCTACGCCGCACACTTGACCGCCCTAGAGAAGATCTCGCAGATTTTTCCCCCCCGGCGCGTATGATCCACCAGGGGTTTCGTTCGCACGCCGCAGGATGGCATTTATTGAGAAGTAATCACCGTGCAAGGCGCGTGCGACGCGTTTGCATACAGTTACTTATGCGTTTACGTAAGCTAAATTATCTTTCCATACATAAATCTCGATCCCTTTTAGCAAATATCATTCCTCTTCACCAGATAAACAGATAGCTAGATAAATTAAACAGCATCGGTCAGTTTAACGTTAATCATCGACGCGGTTAATAATACCCTATTCTCTTATGTTTGACTGTGTCATTTAAAATTCCTTTCTTCGATAAATAAACATGAAATAATTTTAAAATTTCTGCGTGAGAGATTTAATAAAATTATTCGAGTCATACAGATTTCTCGAAGTTGCTCTTTGATCTCTTCTAACATCGACCCTTTGTGTTTCTTTGGGTTTCTTGATTAATAAATCTCAGATAGAACGTTGTAAGTAAACTACTAGAAGAGATATAAAATTCTCTGTCTGTCTTTCGTTCATTTTCTCCTTTTTTTTTTCTATTAACTATCAATTATATTTACATATATCATAGTACCATCGCGCGTACGCCACTTGAGAATCTCTCGAAATTTATTCAACATGAAGCGATAGATATGCTCGATATTCAAATTAATTCATTAATCTAAGTTGTGGATTTTCTTCTCTCTTCTCCCTTTTCCCTCTTTCCCGTTTCTTTAATATTCTTTCCCATTTCAATGAAAACATTCGAAGATCTTTGTAAACATTTCATGAAGAATTCGCAGAATTATTCGGCATCTAGATTCTCCGACAATTTTTTAGTTGTTTGCAAAATAATCCACTTGCGAAATAATTTCTACAATTATAGATTAACTTTAATCTCAATTTAATCTACTCGTATTTTTTACATTTTTCTAGATCTAAAAATTAGAGAAAGAATAAAGAGTTAATTAATTGAGATTAATAGATAAAGATAAATCTATATTGATAAAAAAGGATTATGTTTATTTCTACTAACCTAAATTAATATTAATCTCGGTTTAACTTTTCATCTGTTTCTAGTTCTAAGAATTAGAAAAAGATGAAGAGCAAGTTGAACCGAAATTAAAGTCAACCTACATTGATAGAACGCAGAAACGAGCAATAGATGACTTCGACTAAACTTCGATTGACTTAACTGGCGATTAAGTGAAAATTGCGTTCTTGCAAGTTCTATAATCATATAATTATATATTTCTATAATTATATAATACATGTCTTAATCTAATCATTCTTCCCATGTGTTAAACAACAAAATAGATAGATGTTTCTATCCGCGCTAATAAAATAGCAAATTAGCGATAAGAGTTAATTGCCAAGTAGGTTAAAGTTATTTGCCCAGTGAGTTTTGTACCTGTTACGGTAAAATTCTTATTATCACAACATGTAATAAAATCAAATAAAACGTTATACTCTCTAAAACTTACACTGAATTGCATTCTGAAGAGTGAAATCTCATTTTTATGCCTATTTCTACCAATATAGATCAATTTTAATCATAGCTCAACTTACTCTTCATCTTTTTCTAATTCTTAGGCCCAGTTCCACAACTCACGATTAATTCTTAACCGAGGTTCAACTTGTATCTCATCTATTTCTAATTCTAGAATTGAAAGGAGACAATGAATAAGTTAAAAATTAACTCGGTTAAAAGTTAACCGTGAGTTGTTGAACTAAACCTTAGAATTAGAAAAAGATGGAGTTAGTTAAATCGAGATTAAAATTAAACTACATTGGTAGAAACACGCATTGAAAACTAAGTCATTCTTTTTAAAAACTGGCATAACTTTTATTCCTTAGAATGAGATTCCAAAGAAAGAGATTTTTAAACTTTGCTTAAAATCAAAATAACGTTGGTGCAATCGGGACCTAAGCAATACAAACAAAATCGTTGAATTAATTATAACAATAAAGATCTGTTTGATGTATTGAAAAAATTAAGAACGAAGTGTGTATTAGAGATTTTATCTTAATGATTTTGCTACTTGAATATAAAGCGTTGATTTAAGTTAATTTTCAAGTAGCAAAGAATTTAGAGAGTATAATGAAAACTGATGATTTACCGGTGGCGCAGATGCCGCCGATGATCCAGACGAGGCAGACACCGGCGAGAAGGCCGCGCGTCCTCGCGGAGGTCGCCGCCGGCCGCTGCTCCATCCTCTTGCCTCGCCGTTGCGCGACGTTGACCTCCCTAGCTCCCCTTCTCCCCCTCCCCCTCCTCGTCTTCGTCCGTCGCCTTCTTCTCCACCGTCGTAGCCTGCCTCCTTCGCTCGCAGCCGCTGCGCGTAAGAGGCTCCGGAAGCGTACGGGCTACGCCAATCGCGACGATTCGCGCCGCGTCCCCGTCACACGCACACTCGCGACTCGCATTCCGCGATGCTCGCCGATGTTCTTTCACTCCCTCCGTTTCTTCTCGGTCACGTTCGAAGGAGGCGCGAGGCGTACAAACGTCCGCTCAAGGTTCTTAAGCTTCACTATCGCTGGATATTAGCCGCTGGAATAAACCTTCAATTACTACGAAGATTGGACTTAGCCTTCCTTCTTCTTCTTCTTCTTCTTCTTTTCTTCTCTTTTTTCCAATGTGAATTTCTGACCTGCGAAGGTTCACAGTATCGTAAAAATCCAATGATCCAAGGATCAAGTGTCAAACCTTCAAGGAGAGATCGACACTCCTTTTATCGAGGGAATTTAAGAAGAATTGTACTCACAAGGTAGTTGGATTCGCACCCTTCTTACTTCACAAGATCCAAGACGAACGGGGAAACGACTTGTATTCCCCGTGGAAGAAAAGGAGAAACGAAACGTCAGAGATGCAAAAGGTTTAACGAAAATCGCGTCCCCGCGAATGTATCTTGTTCGAACGTTCGCTCGTGCGAGCCGACTTCTTCGGGTTTCTCTTTAAAGACGGGCTCGCTCCTCGCGATCTCGTGCCCTTCTTCTCCCTCTCTCGCTTCTTCCCACGCTCTTCTCTCTTTCGCGCGAGAACTGACGTCCGTGAGGGAATCCACAGGAATTAACGATGGAAGGGACCCACATCGATCGAGATCGATCGTCCTCTCCGTCGTTTCCGCTCGCTTTCGATTGTAAATCAAATGTAAAACCGCCGTTCAACCGACGATCGCAGACTCAGCCGAGACGTAGTCAATCGCGTTCAGTTTTCACTCTCGCTTCTCACTCGACAACGCGACGCGTTTGAACTCGCCGCGGAAGGTCTCGCGGAAGGTCTACCGCACACGCGGTATCTCAGCAGTGTCAACAGTAAAAAGTTCACACGACGACGAATTCTTCCCCGCCACCCAAGATCTATCCTCCCCGCGGGAGGGAAGGTAAACGCGGACGCTCGCGCACGTTCACCTGGTAACACCTGGCAACACCTGGTGAAGGTGTACACAACACCGTTGAAATCCGCTCGCGGAGAATTTCGCGAGGAATGTCGGACCGAACGCCGAGGAACGCGGAGGAAATGCTTGATCGCGATCCACTACTTCCTATCGCGACGAGAGAATCGGACCGACCTCGAGGCGCCGTTCAAGTTGGTCCAAGTTCCGTTGCAATCGACGCGCTCGCACCGCGTCGCTCGGCAAACGCGTTCGCACGACAAGCAAAGGAGCGTCAACTTAAAATCGCGTGCACGCGCATGCCCGTCGCAGGCACTACTGACCGACCAATCGTCGCTGAGTATTCGCTCGCGCTCTTGCTCGGCTGCGTTCGGCAACTCATCGGCGAGCGGACAATGTCACGTCGCATAGCGCGACACTGGCCAATCAGACGCCGCCGCAACTAGGGAATTTTCAGTTCCCGCCGATTTTGTGATGTGCCACTTGTTGAATACCGCTGATAAAATGAAGGACGAAGGAATAAAATTAACTGACTTCAATCAACTTCAATTAACTTAATCAGCATTTTATTAAGGTATCGACATTATTTTAATTGCACCAACATTACTTTAATTTTAAGCGTGGCTTAAAACTCTCTCCCTTTTTGTCTCTCTATCGGTTTTAAAAAAAGAAAGAGAGATTTTTAAACTTTGCTTAAAGTCAAAATAACGTGTTGATGCAATCGGGACTAAGCAATACAAACAAAATCATTGAATTAATTAATAAAGGTCTATTCGATATATTGAAAAAATTAAGAACAAAGTGTATATTAGAGATTTTGTCTTAACGATTTTGCTACTTGAATATAAATTGTTGATTAAAAATAAAATGTTGATTTAAGTTAATTTTCAAGTAGCAAGGTGATGTTAAACGATGTTTTTAACGCTAAAAGTGTCTTTAAAGTGTAACCTAATTGTTACTTGCAATTATCCTTAAAAAAGAGACTTTTTTTAATTAAAAGTGTGCAAATGAAAATTTTGAGTATGCACATACACGTGCAAATAATGAGCAATCGCGAATAAGCTATAGAAAGTTATAATAGTTTATTTTTTTTAACGTTGGGAAGAGCTAACTTCACACATGAAACATTGAAAAAAAATAATTATCTGCAATTTTTTAAAAATGCATATTTGATACAATGTAATTGTAATCGTAGCAATTTGTGAAGTTTCTTTTTAAATTAAAAAAACTTTCGTGACAGGTAATATTTTAACTATATGTCTCTCGCGTAAAATGAAAATTCAAATAAATCGACTCGATCTAGATTAATATTGCTCTTTAATTACAACAAAAAATATGTTGAGTTTGTAAAGAAAAAATATTGAGAATGAATTTAAAAATATCAAAATTGGTTTTGATACTTTGAAAATTCTTTAATTCAATAGAATACAATGTTCTCAACGAATTGTCGAAAAACGATCGTTAATCGTTTACTGCGCAAGTGCCGTGACTTTTACCGTTGCGTTCCAAAAGCAGTTTTGAAACGTACTTCAGTCAAACTATGATCAACTTGTGCAAATTCATTTTGTTACATAATACGAGTAAAATTATTAATTTTTGTTCAATAAATGGAAACAAAATGTAGATTAGATAATAAAGATAATAAATAATTCACAATTTCACTAACAAGAAAAATAGTTCTGCTTGTTGAATTAATTAAAAAATATAGAAAAAATTTTAATTGATTAATTTAGATTACACTTTGATTGTCAAGCTGATTTTAAAATTTGAGTTTAATATATCTACAATAACATATTATTTTAATTCTTTATTCTTTAATTTTTTTTCCTTTTAATATCTTAATATTTTAATTTCTAAGCTAGTGACAAAGAATTATGCATTAAAAAATTTGGTTGTAATAAGCATTTTATTGAAAATTCAGTCGAAATTACTATACGAGTGTGTGATTGTCTGGTAAATTTTTCCCATTTAGTTGGTAAGTTAGTAAATTTAGTTGGTAAATTGTAGTCCAAATATTCATTCTTCCCGCCAATATTCCAGCTGCTCTCATTTGTCATACATGAAACATGGCATGCACATGGACGACGAGTGACGACTCTGGCCACACGATTTCAGTATTTTCAGTTGATTTTAATTCGAAGTAGGATTAAGTAGGATCTAGGATGATGACTCAGGAGAGCACAATCGAATGCGACGTAAATATTTACTTCGTCGTACCGAGTCATCTGGACTCCGAAGATGATTGCAGCGAGAATATGTGGCAGACATTTAACGTTCGTACCCTTTCCTACTTTGCTAGAATTATAAAGCTTTTTTGCCGTTTTTTCAAGCAGTATTGCAAATCGACACGCGGAAGATACGGAGACGATTTTGCGTTTTCCAATACTTTCGCTTTTTTTGGTCACATCCTTTGTCTCTTATTGGTTTCAAAAAATGTTATTGTTTTATTCTAGAAATGCAATGAGCTTAGTTTGCGTCCAGAATGGGTTAGCGAACAGTTTTGCTGTAACATGAAACCAGAGAAAAACGATGTATTTGTTATAGAGGAATTTAAAGGAGAAGTGTTCGAGAAACTGAAGAACTTTAAATGCTCGTAAGTTTATACCTAGGCGTAGAAGTCACAATAAACACATAAGTCGTAATAATATTGAGGTTGTCTCATTATGGGATGCTTTCTATTTGATGTCATAAGTCGACACACAAGTGTCGTTCTGTCTTTGTTACTCTCTGAATATCAAGAAGGATAGAATAATGCTTATGTCGACTTGTGTTATCAAATAGAAGACACATGATCTTGTTTGTCATTTATAAGTTTACATTGACTTATAAGTTCCTATTATAATGACATTATTTGTTTTACTTAGCTCTTTTGCCGTAAATAAGTTTTTAATCTAAAATATAAATTATTAATTAATGTTTACGTTATTGCAACAGGTATATATCTTATCATGATTGTAATTAAAAATAGCTGGATGAAGAAATTTTTAATTACAAATTTATATTTTAGCAGAATAGTATCACCGAAATGTCTGCTAATTTGTTTTCTAAATGGAGAACCAATACCAGAAGGAAGAAGCCCAATTTATACGACATCCATGAGAAAAATGTGCATTTGTGCATCAGGTTTTGATGCCGAAATTAAGGTACAACTATCGTGGTAATTTTGTGTGTATAAACTTTAATTGTTTGTAACAATGATAGTTTTGATTGCTATTACAGGACTGGATACAACAACGAGTTGAATATATGGGAGGCGTCTTCACGAAGCAATTAAGAAGTTCTGTCACACATTTAGTAGCGGATAATGTGATGTCTGCAAAATATGAGGTATTACATTTATAATATATAATTCATTTTTAAACAGTTTTATTTGAAATATTGAGAATCTTATTATATAAAATTAAAATTATATTTTATGAAATTGTTAAAATTTTATCTTATTCTATATTTATTTAAATCATTATTTTGTGATAATACAATAGAGTAGAAATTTAATTTATTAAAAATTCTATTTATAGAAAGCTATAGAAATGAAAATACCAGTCATGACGAAAGAATGGATAGAAGCTGCCTGGAAAGCAAATTTGAAGGAGGTGATTAAGGCTGATGATAAGATTTTTGATAGATACAAATGTCCAGTTTTTATGAATTTAATAGTTACTTCCACAAATATTCAAAGACGTCAAAAAGAAGAAATTAAACGTTTAATACAACAACATGGAGGAGTGAGTTAAATTTTATGTAATGTGTATGTATATATATACATATACATATATGATAGTAGTAAAAAATGTAGCAGTTGGCTGTAATCTTATATTTATGTTTTGCAGATATTCATGGGTCCTCTTGATGGAACGAAGGTTCGAGTGGTTCTAACTACTGAGATTGGTCCATTAAGCGATAAATTAAAGTATGCAATGGAAAATGACATAGCCTGTTTGAAACTTGATTGGGTATACGAAAGTATTAAAATAGGATACGCTCTACCCTTCTCTAACTTTATTATCCAATCTGTAAAAGCATGTTCAACACCAGAAAAATCAAACAGTACGTATATATAATTGAAAAAATCTCATTATTGAATATATATCTGAAAATTTGTTGATATCATCTAAAATTTTAAAAATAAATATAAATAGAAAATAAGTGTCAAATTTTTCAACTCTATTTGAATACTTGTTTTTGATGTTTTATCTCATTAGCTAAGAACGTCAATTTATTGTAAAGATTCCATTGAGATGTGTATGTCAGGTGGATAATCAATTCAGATTCAAAATTTGAAATAGAAGAAAATGACAAATAATATGACGGATGGAAATGTTATATGTTTTCCGATTACGGCAAAAGCCTTAATTCCGTTAAAATGAAGTAATTGAGAGTTTTAGGGGTCGCTGGTGTCGAATCGGGTACAAAATTTGAAAATATAAAATAGGAGATTGAAATGATAAAAATCTTCCAATTTAGATGAAATGTAATATTAAAGGAATATAAGGATCGCTGATTTCAAATTCAAATACAAAACTTGAAAAATGACAATCAATATGGCGGATGAAAATGCTAAAAGTTTTCCGATTTGGACAAAATATAATTTTAGGTTTTTAGGGTCGTCGATTTCGAACTCAAATTTTGAAATTAAAAAAATGATTGAAACAATATGGCTGATGTGTGGAAATGCTTAAAGTCCACCAATTTCACAAAATACAATTTTACTATCCTTGATTACAAGAGTAGATTCAGACTTAGACAGAAAAGCAGAAAGCAGAAAAATGATAGCAATCAGAACTCACTGGTAGTCGCTGGTTTTAGCCAGTTTCGACTTTCTGTGCTGTTTACTACCAATACAAATTTTGATTGGCTGCTGCTTTTCTGCTATTTCAAGATCTGAACCTAATCTAAGATAATCTTTAAGACGTCTTTTGTCCACATTATAGACATAATGTTGTATAGCAAACTAGAAATTGACCAATTATATTTAAGAATTCTGCACATAATTTAACTGTATTACCAATTGTAGCTGGAGATGTTTACTTGAAGACAATGCGCGCGTAGCGTTGAATGTGCTAGTACATTTAAATTCGGTATACCTGATAATAATAGAAAGTTATTATGATTTTTTAACAGTATAAGCAGTTGCATTAATTATTTTATAATGTAATAGTTGATAAAATTGAACAGAATAAATAGTATTTTTACGTATTTTTTTTAGCTCAAGAATTGCTCAATTGTTCTAACATTAGCTCTATAGCACATGATAAACGTCACACTAATATGATAAGTGAGAGTTTTTGTACAACAATATCGAATTATTCCAATATAGATGCAGTAATTGGTAAACCCTCAAGTAAGTATTTAATATACTAAATCGGAAAAAAAGTTTTTTTGTGTTTTTAAAAATTTTTTGCAAAGTTTTTCATTTGTTGCAAAATTTTCGTTACAATTATATCATTCGTTAGAACAAAGTTTTAGCTTTAAGAATCTGTTTTTTAAATTGCGGTATGATGATTTTTATCGGAGTTATGAGCAATCGAAGTCAGAATGCTCCTTTACTTAACTCGCGAATAACTCAGGAGCAAAAAATTATAGGAACATTTAAAAAAATGATTTTGTAGAGAAAGCTTCAAGCTTTCACGATAGGTAGTCGAAAATTTTTATAAATTTTTTTTGGACACGTGAGAGACTCTTAGTCTCTCAAGTTTTAAAACTCTTTTTTAAATTTAAATTTTATTTTTGACGAAGATATTGTATATACAATTTTGTATTAAAAAAATACGAAGAAACTTTTTCCCTATATATTGTAATTGCGATTTTAAGTAAAAAAAACATTTATATTTTTTTGTACAGCCTCTAAGTTAAGCGTATTGGATCGACTCACTTTCGGTGAAGCAAAATCAGCTGGACCATTTCTGGACGGATGTAATGTAAATCTTTCTTACATTATCCGTAGTATGTTACGCTTTCTTTTGTTTTGATTTCAAATTTGCTATTATTATTTTGTCTTTACAGATTTATCTTGCTGGATTTGTGACAAGTGTCAGAGATAAATTGAATAAAATATTAAATGTTGGCGGTGCAACACGTTTGGATGATATATCGGGTGCTGTGACCCACGTAATTGTTGGCGACGAGAGCAAAGCATCCGCAGAATTAAAAGCGATCAAATCGGAAGGTTTATGGTACAGTAATACCAGATAAATAAGATTTATTTGGCTCTCAATTTGCGATCAAACCTACATTATATATAATTGCTCATAACTAAAAGATATTCTTTTAAAAAAAAAAACTTTGTTCTTAACGTCAATAAGAATTTTTTTTTCAAGTTTCACCAAATGGGATCATGTACAATCTATACAAATGCTGCATAAATGTATAATATATTAGTTATAACATATTACCTTCTTGTTTTCATATCCTCAATTTTTGCTTCTATTTTATCATATACATTTTATTTTGGGCAGTCCTTACATATTGAATGTAGAATGGCTGGAGGAGAGTATGAAATTAAAACGACCTGCATCAGAAGAACTCTTTTTGTTTGAAGTAAAAGATGCAGTATCTAAGAAAAACATTGAGACACCTGCTTCACCGCTCAGTAAAAAGGTATTAATAAAATATTACGTAGAAGTTATAAATTTATATTCCTAATTTTTCAGAATATAATATGTGTCTTTAAATTATTTTTTATAATTTTTGTATTTTTTTTTTTTTTTGCGAAAAATCTTTACGAGAAATAATCTGGAATTATGAAATATTATTAAAATTATCAAGTAGGAACATTTTTACATCTATTATAGATTTGACAAATCGATGTATTATAAGGTTTAATGAATATATTTGTATATTATTTTAGAATTTACAAATGTTGCAACAATCGAAAAGATCTCTACCGCCTTTGAATTTAGAGAAAGTACTTCCGCCTGTGAATGAAAATGAGCAACCTGATCTCGTGCAGCAATATCTGCAAGAGAATGATGGTAATAGAGCAGATTGCATTCTAAAATATTTGCATTGCATTCTAAACATATTTATACTTTTAATTAATTAATAAACAGTGCAGTATTCTTATATATGAAGTTTGAAAAGATAAGTGATTGTTAAATAAATGTCTCGTTATAACTGTGAATAAATTACAGATAGCAGTGTCAGACATGAATTTATCAAACCACTTATCCCTGTTTCAAAAAACAAAGATCGAGAGGATTTGAGTAAAGCGAAAAGTGCGCACATCAGTGTATTAGATGTAACAAAAAATGTAGAAAGTGATAACACCATGCCACTGAGCCAAAGCTACACAGTGAACGAAAAGTTGTTCAAAGGTATAATAATTATTTTTTTCTTCTTTTCTTCTTGTTACGTACAAGCCTCTGGCCTATGTTACACTTCTCTCATATGCTTGTGATGTGCACGCTGATTATTCAAATTGCCACATTGGGACCAACAGTTTTTAATGCCGGTTCCGAATGACGGATTTTTCGAGAGATGGTCTGTGGACAAGGATACTCTCGGGAGGTTATCGACCTTTTCCGAGAGGAGACACGAGCGTAAATATTTTGGTTCCTACTAGAATCGAACCTGAAATCTCTGACATGATAGACCAGTCTGCCATGCCACGCTCGCGTTTAATTATAAGTTTTATTTTTCATATTTCTGCTCTGGAAAATAATATGCTTGTGCATTTATATACATGTAGATATTAACAAACTTCCTATTGTTGAAATTTTAATATATAATTTTATATAATTTTATATAATTATATATAAAAACTTTCCCGTATATATATATTAAGAAAATTTGGAAAGTTAAGAAATTTTCTCTACTTGTTGTTTAGTGTAAGTATATTTACAGTACTTTTAAATTATATTCACATCAAAAGTCTTGTTCATATTTGAACCCTCGTATTACAGTGTATGTATTTTTTTTTATAGATTAAAAAAATATTGTTTATATATATAAGATCATTGTCTCAAGAAATATAAATATCAAAAAGATCTCTTTGATATTTTATTTTTTGAGGAAATATTAATAACCTGTATACTTATACAAATTTTTCTGAATACAATAGTAAAATACTACATGCAGGTTTAACATTCGTTGTGGCCGGTTTTGATGACGAGGATAATCATATAGAGACAATCGTAATGTTGGGTGGGCGCTTAGCCTCGAGAACCTATAGTGGTATCCCGGATTATGGTATTGTGCCTGTGGACGGAGCACCATTAAAATATACAGTTAATGAAATTGTGAACGATTTATTTATTGTAGGTATTTTTTATACATTAAGTCCTCATTTTTTAAAAGTTTAAAATCTATTTTTTAAGAATAAAAATTATATATTAGGAGATTTTGGAGTGTTAAATTGTGCATAAAGAACGGAGTTTTTCTTAAAATTAAGATCTTTAACTATTAAAAAATAATTACTTTTATAATTAGAAGATTTTGATTTTATACTTATTTTATATATATTTTTATGTTCTTTTAATTTAGTATAACTTTGTATATTTTCTGTAATGTTTATCATACATTTCAGTTTTGGAAGATACCTCTGCGTATTATTACTCTCTGTATAGTTTGCAATTTAAATCTATTCATTAATAATAAACGGATTCCGCTCATAATTTTTCTTAATGTCACTGATATTTAAAATTGTCAATTTTTTATTTATTAATAGGATGATTGTGTAAATCAGGAGGAAGTTGTGGACATTATGTATTACCACAGGCCATTATCTATTAGAAAACCTTGTAATCCATTATCAGGATGCGTCATAACGATGAGCATGTATACTGGGTCTGAACGAATGTACCTTTCGACACTAGCTATGAAACTTGGCGCTATGTAATGTATATTCTTATCATATCTTGTATACATATGTATATATAATGTGTATATATATATATATATATATATTTTATATGAAAAAATTTCTTAAAAATATAAATTTTAATAAGCATTTCTTTCAATAATTTTTAGATGTCAAGATATGTTTGCGCGGAAAGCCAATGCAGAGAAGAATACACATGGCAGTACACATTTGGTTTGTCCATCCCCGGAAGGAAACAAATACAACGCGGCTGTGAGATGGAAATTACCGGCTGTCACAGCCGACTGGTTAAAAACCTGCGCGGATGAATTAACGCTCGTAGATGAAACTCCGTTTCTCGTTGGAGAAACAATAGGTAAATTGATTTGTATTTAATTAATTGTTTTTACTTTTTCTGTTTGCTTTTTTACTAGATTGCGAACTTTAAAAATTATATCAAGATTTTTTATTATATATGGAAATACTATATATTTCAATTTTCTATGTTGTGATTAAAGATAATTTATTAATTTAAATTTATATTTTTAGAAAATAAAATATAATGTTAATATTTCAAGAAAAGAAAAGCTACGCAAGATGTCAAGTGTTATTATTAACTTTAAAATTTATTAAATCAATTTAAATATATAATAATACAAGCATTTCCACCGTCATCCTCAATGTAAAAAAAATAATATAGAGTATTAAAAGTAAAATAGTCGCAATATTTTTCATTTGTTAAATATAAACATAGTTAAATACTTAAATATAATAAACGTTAAAATCCATTAAAATTAAAAGTTTTTTCTCTTTATAAAAAAATTGACATTCTTTTCTAATAAAAATCACCTGATTAAACCATCTTAACGTTTGTAACAATAAAAGTTACTTCTTTCTTCCAATTTGAATTATTGTAATTCATCTAATTAAATTATTTGTTGAATAATTTAACTAAATCATTTGTTTTACACTGAGGATGACCCGATGAAGGTGGAAACATTTGTATTATTACATGTTTAAATTGATTTGATAAATATTAAAGATTGTTTAATTATTAGCACTTTACATCTTGCGTAACCTTTCTTTATTTGGAAATTTTAATTTTAAATGTTTCAATCAGAATATTTTGAAAAATGTAATTTCTAAATCTTTGTTTCTATGTTTGTATATAATTTTAATGTGTGTTAAAAGCACCAGTTAGAACGACTAGCGAAGCGAATCTTTCAGCTACTGGCGAAAATAGACCAAGTCCAGCAAAAGAAATTACATCAAGAATGATTACACCGATACGTCATTTATCTCAGGTCAAGGTATGTATTATTATAAGATAAGATTAATAATATTATAAGATAAGATTAATATTTTTTATCTATAAATATACATTTGTTTAATAATAAATGATTATAATTTGCAATGTAAATTGAATTTAATGTTTGTAAAAATTTGATTTATTAAAAGCAATTTTAAACCATTCAGCTTAAATATACTGTAAGATTCATTTTGGATTACAATTTTAAAAATTTATAGGACGCATTTTCTGTCGAAACTCCATTGATAAATAAAAGACTTAGTCTTGTGATGAACCAGACATCGCCGTCACCATTTCACGTGTCCACTCCGGAGAGTCCATATGGACAGGTCTTTAAACCCAATCCTTCGCCTGATACTCGAAAAGGATGGATTAAATGGACAGAAAATTTTCCTGATTTGCAAGTAGAAGAACCGCCGCTAAAACGACGCGCACGTAGCACTGTGAATATTGTTTTTTTGTATAAAACCTATTTATGTTTAAGCGCTTATAGTAATATGCTATAATCGAGAACTATTTGCAGCCGCTTTCAGCATTGAAGAGGCAATTGTGGGAAAAATTAAAGAATCCAGATCAATCTGAAAAAGTAAGACAAATATATTCAAGAGTGTAATCTTGTTGCTGCGACGAATATTAATGTAAAGATAGAGTACATTTATAATATAACGCATCGCGATATAATTAATCTTTCATAATAATCTTTTATAACATTCAACGTTTTCTAACGATTTTACAATAGTTACTGCTTTCGATAATTTTAATCGTTATGGCGTTTAAGAATATTGAAGTGCCGCATAATTATGTTTATCCAAAATTGATTTATATTTTTAACTACTAGGAACATGAATCGGATCAAGCAATAACACACGATGATGATAATGATTCTTTTTCGAAAAGAGTTGAAGAGGAGTCTAACAAAACTGTTTCAACTTTCATCCCACCCATCAACCGAAAACTCGACTTCGACGAAAAAAGTAGCCCAATATCAAAAGAAATAAACATGTATGTGTTTCTTAATGAAATAGAATATTATGATAAATATGTACATACTATAATAAGATGAAAATATTTCGGAAATAAAAGTTATATGGGATACTTTGTGAACATAATACTTGTGATAACTATTTTTAAAAAGTGTTTATAAATATTTTTTCTTTTTTACGATATGTTATTCTATATATTACAAATATTGATGAGAATAAATTTGGATTTTTTTTATGAATAGGCAAATAGCACAATTGGATCAAGTGCTTCAACGAACGTCCAGTACTCCTGAAAATAGATATTCGCTATCTGGTGAAAATGCGAAGAAGTACAATGAAGCTTCCGATCATATACAAAAATGTGAATATCTTTAAATTATATCGCTAACTTATATCACTGAGTCGATATTTGCAATTTTTGTACAATGTTTTAATAATTATTTTACAAACATAGGTATAGTAAAGGATTCACAAGCTATCGACGCCATTGTATGGGAGGATCCAGATCATCCAAAACGAGTATATCATGATTTTTCTTTTCAAATGATCTTCACATATTCGAAGATTTAGCTTTAGTTTTGACATATACATTAACTCAAAATAAATATATAATTCAAGATTTGAATGTTTTTCTTTCTATGAGTTAAAAAATAAAACTTGAGAAAAACGTGTAGAAAAAAGACATAAAATTGCTTATATCAAGCTGATAAATTTTTAAGCAAAGAATTTATCATATTATCTTAACTATTTTTATCGGATTGAGATAAATTTTGATATAAGGATGTTTGTTATATCAATTCAATTTTTTTATTTTTTGCAGATTTTATAGCCACTATTTTTTACGTATATTAATGTTTGTTTATCTTAATATTTAATATTTTTATGCAATATCTTGTACAATATTTGTTTTTTTATAGTCAACCTTAGGTAAACGGTCAAGTAACGATAATAGCAATGTTATTCATGAAGAACATACCGATGAAGACGCCATAGAATATGAACAATCAACAATACGAAAATTTATGCTGTCGGGTATAAAGGTATATTATTGTTGTCAAGCATAACAATACTATTTTTTATATTGTAATCATTATTTTAACATATAATATTTTAATAGGATAGAATTGTGTACGAACAAGTGATAAGAGATCTAGGTGGAGACGTGTCTACGGACACAAATTTTGATAACAGTGCTACACATCTCCTGTGCATCAGACTCTCCAGAAACGAAAAAATGCTTAGCAGCATAGCTTCTGGAAAGTGGATTCTGCATTGCTCGTATCTACAGGATTCTAAACGAGAAGGCAGATTCCTCGACGTTAGTATATTTGTCAAGAATAACAAAAATATATCAGAAGAAACTAATATGCCGATGCTTGGTTCATTTTTCTTCTAATTTAAAAAATCGAAAGAAAAATAAAAAAATTCGATTGCATCGTTATTTGCATTGCGTTTATGTTTTCATGATGTAAACTGCGAATAAAATTTTCGTAGGAGGAAGAGTACGAATGGGGTAATCCAAAGAGTAAAAACAAGATTCCAGAACCAAGTAGCAAACTCGAGAATGCGATCGGAGCTGCGGTTTACAAATGGCGATTGAAATTACAGAAAGAGTCGTATGGCCCATTTTCGAACATAGTAGCTCTTTTGATGGTCTCAGAAGAAAAATACGATCAATTTAAGAGACTGATCGAAGCTGGTGGCGGTTTAGTCATGCAAGCAAAGTGCGTATTAATCAATTTTTATAGAAAAGAGGACAGTTTTATTATTTGTTATTCTGATTTTTTCAATTTAATTGCAGACCGCCTTATGATGTCAGTCTGCCTGGTCGCAGAATCACACACTGTTTCGTTAATGTGAAACAGGTAAATTATGTTCTTAGAATAAATATTTTAAAATATAATGCAATTCAGTTAATGGCTTCTCTACACTTCAGGAATTTTTTCAGTTTATTAATTGTTTACATTACATGTATGTGTAATTAAAACAATTTATTTTTTAATAACAAAAATTGGAACAAAATGGTAAGAAAAATGCCTGTAGTATTGCAGAGAATTTATAACTGTATTTTAATATATAATTAATTTTGAAAATAGATTTTGAGACCAAAATACATGACACATACGCACGCACACACACACACACACG